ACGCAACGGAAGTCTGATAAACGGACTGACTCACATAGATATCACTCCACACACATACAATCGTGAGATGGTGGGGTCTGAGCCATGCATAGACGATGCTCAGCCCCGTACACACATACACAGATGAAAGTGGGAGGAGAGACGAAGGAGGTGGGAGATGTAGGTAGCACCAGATGTCACCGAGATAGAAACCAGTAGGTCACCGATATGGTAATCCAAAATGTCATCGAACAAGATCAAATGTCGHGGACAATAAGYCACCAATGTCGGAGATACAGAGTCCTAATGTAACCGGTGTCCAATCTGTGATGCAGCCGAGTATCATCCCCAACAATCTCCAAGTCTCGAACCCGGTAAGTACCACAGCCTCTTACCACCGAAGTCCAACTCTGATCTCTGATCTCTGTCCAACTAGTATAAGTCTCCAGTCTGAAGAAGAAGAAGAAGAAGAAGAAGAAGAAGAAGAAGATGAGGTCTGAAGAAGAAGGAGAAGAAGAAGGGAGTCGAGGAGGAGAGAGAGAGAGAGGGGACTGGCGACGGGAGGGAGGAGAGAACCCCCGGCTCCCGATACCTCAGGCGGCTATGGCCGCCGATCTGCTCAGTCGCCGCTGCTGCTGCTCCGCTCGCTGCCGCTGCTGCGATACTGCTGCTGCCACTGCTCCTCGTGCTCCTGCGCTAAGAATAGCGCCAGCGCTCTGGCGCTATACCATAACAGACCGCTAGAGTGCCGGTGGTTCGATCCCTCAGAATGAGGCCGGACTGGTCTTTTGTACCGGTGGGGCAGAGGCCGGCCTCAATGCTGCGAGGCCTGGCTGTGCCCTGAACCGTCGAGATTGACGGTTCAGCCCCAACCGGCGGGCGGCAGCCTCAAGAGCGCCGCCAGGCGCAAACGGTAATGTCGGTTGGGCCTGCCCGTCGGGTCTGGTCCAAGATGTGGCCTTTACGGCCTGCTGTACCCCAAGTCCGGGCCTTTAGGCCCTACTGTGACCTCCTGGCCCTAAGTCGGGTCCGGTAGGACCCGTGTGGCATTGAAGATGTAACACACTCCCCCTCTTAAAAGACCGAGCTACTTGCGAGGGCGGAGTTGTTCGTTCGATACCGGGATGGGTCGGGTGGGACGAGCTGCTTCCTTGGCAAGGCGTCGCTTCTCATAGTCGACGAAGATAAGGGGTGCAGAAGTCTGCAAGTTTGCACTAGAGATCCACCGAGTGTCGTCAGGCGCACATTGCTTGAATGTGACTTTGAACTTCATTGGCTTGTTGCCATACTTGCGGTGCGTGATGACTCGGTCGACTTCCTGATGTCCGTCCATAGAAGGCGGATCCTGTGATCGACGGCCGGGAAACTCGCCGGCAGAAGGTGGCGTGTAGATGGCCATCTTCGACGAGTGGAAGACCCGGTGCACTGGGAGGTGCGGGGGAATGTTGACCACAAAGGAAGGACATGCGGGGTCGTCTCCAACGGCAGAAGTGACTTCCCATGGTCCGAACCATTTCGGAAGGAGTTTGCGCGAAACGTCCTGCTCGAGCGCAAATTCCTCGGAGAGGACCCAAACAAGGTCTCCCTCGCGGAAAGGACATGGAAGTTGACGTCGGTTAGCCTGCTGTTGCATGCGGATCTGATCCTTTTGCATATTCACACGGGCTTTGATCAGCAAGTCCCGATACTTCTGAATGGAAGCGGGAGAGCAAGGGACGTCTATGTCGGCAGCCTGTGGCAAAAGGAGATCAGCGAAGATCCGTGCTTTCTCTCCACCATGATGTAGCTCGAATGGTGTGACGCAGATCGCCAGGTGTACCGAAGTGTTATAGGCGAACTCGATGTCGGGAAGCCGGTCAACCCAATCTTTCTGGTCGGGACGGATGAGCGTACGCAACATCATCTGAGCGGTCTGGTGCGCTCGCTCCGTCTGGCCATCCGTCTGCGGGTGCCGAGCCCAGCTCGGCTTCATTGTCGTACCGGACTCAGCCATGAGGGAAGTCCAAAAGGCCGACATGAAGCGAGTATCTCAGTCGCTCACTATGTTTTCCGGAACACCCTGGTTGGTAATCCAACCGGTGTGCAAGAGTCGTGCGAGCTCAGGCGCTGCAGCATGATATATTAAGGAAGGAAGCGAGCATACTTGCTCAAACGGTCAACGACCGTGAGAATACCGTCATGGCCATGGCGATCGTGGGGGAACGGGCCTGTCACGTCCATAGCAATGGAGAGGTGCGGTGCCTGAGGAATCGGCAATGGTTTCAGTTCGCCGAAGGGGGCTCGAGATCGACCCTTGTTACGATGGCAAACTGCACATGACTCAATGTACCTCGTGACGTCATGAAGGACGTCGGGCCAGTGAAAACGCTGGCGGAGGCGTGCTAATTTGCGGTTCACGCCAAGGTGTGCCGAAAGTCGTGCGTCGTGGAATTCGCCGAGAAGACGAGTCCGTAAGATGCGATCTTGGGGCACAACTAACAAGTCCTTTCCTCTCGTGTGAAGGAGAAGGAACCCGTCGGAAATCCGATAGTGGCTAGCCGGCGGGTGATCCGATGAAAGCTCCGCGTAAAKCGTRGAGTAAGTCGGATCGGACTTGTAGCCTTTGACGAARTGCGGCTGCAGATCGTCATCGAGGTCGAATGCCGTGGTCACAATGGCACAAAARTCGGGCCGTCGTGAGAGGGCGTCCGCAGCTCGATTGGCGGGACCGGGAATGTGGCACGGGTCAAARTCGAACTGGTCGATGTAATACATCCATCGACCGATCGTRCTAGTGACCGTRTCCTGCGTTTTRTAAAAGGTCAACGGATTGTTGTCCGTATTCCATTTAAAACGCTGACGGCCGATAAGAAAGTGGCGCCACCGTTTGAGAACAGTGACCAACGCGAGTAGCTCTTTCTTCCTAGCGTCGTCGAGACTGTTGACGAGAGGCACTTTTTGGGAGAAGTACTCGACCGGATGCCAGCCGTCTTCGTGACACTGTTCCAACACCGCACCAATACCGTATCCCGAAGCGTCCGTAGTCACTTGGGTGGGAAGGGTGGGGTCGTATATACGGAGGGCAGGTGCGGCTTGCATCGCTGCCTTCAACGTAGTGAACGCGCCACGGGCTGCGTCGTCGAACTCGAAGGGCACCTTCGGGGACTGAAGTCTCGACAAAGGAGCTGCCACTTTCGAGTATGACTCGACGAATCGCTGATAATATCCAGCCAAACCCATGAAAGAGCATACGTCCGTCGGCCAATCCACGATGGCTTGGATCTTGTCCGCTAAGGGACGAATGCCTTTCGGCGTAACATAGTGGCCCAAATACTCAAGCTCCTGCTTGGCGAACTCACACTTGTCGCGGTTCGCTTTGTACTTGGCCAGTCGCAAACGATCCAAAATAGCGCGAAGGTGTATGATGTGCTCGTCCAACGTCCTACTATAAACCAAGATGTCGTCGAGGTAGATGAGGACGCTGCGATCGAGCAAGTCGCGAAACTCAGTCGTCATAGCTGCTTGGAAAGTCGCGGGGGCATTGGTGAGGCCAAAGGGCATGACAACCCACTCAAAATGCCCGTACCGCGTCTTGAACGCGGTCTTGTACCGATCTTGATGCTGGATTTCAATCTGGTGGTAACCCGACTTCAAGTCCAACTTCGAGAAGTACGTCGCGCCGCCTAACCGCTCAAGGAGATCATCAATCCGAGGGAGAGGGCCGGCGTTCTTTACGGTTTGTGCGTTAAGTTTGCGATAATCGATGCATAACCGTAGATCTTTGTTCTTCTTCCGGACGAAGAGAACAGGGGCACCGTATGGCAAGCAACTAGGGCGAATCCAGCCCTTGTCGAGGAGGTCATCGAGTTGTACGCGAAGCACCTCGAGTTCCTCTTCGCTCATGCAGTAGATACATCCACGCGGAGGGACGACGCCAGCCTCGAGAGTGATCCCGTGACGTATGGGCCGATCCGGAACCGTTCCGGTGGGAGCCTCGAAGAGGTCTCCATACTCGTCTAAGAGGTGAGTGATGCGTGGGTCCGGCGGTGACGCGGCTGGTCCATCCGGCGAGGGGAGAGCATGCAAGAATACAAGGCCCATCTTCTCGACGTCATTCCGAGCTATGGCGTCGCGAATTCTCGCAACGGAAACCACGTGACAAGCAATCGAAGTGTGAGGGGTCGCGACCGTACATGGGACTAACACTCCGTTCCGATCACGGATGTGAACGGTTCGGTCATGAAAGTTCACCGGATGATCGGCGCTACGCAACCAAGACATGCCTAAAATCATGTCGAACTTGGTGTCGAGGATGTCAAAAGACACCGGCTCGCACGCAAGTGGCGCAAAGTAGACCGGAACGCCGTCAACGCATCGGTCAATTGACTTTTGCGTGCGGCCGTCCGCGAGTGTAACTTGCGTGGGTTGCGTCTTCCTTCGAACGCGCAAGCCAAGGCCTGCGCGGGCCATAAAGGCTTGGCTCATAAAGTTGCGAGACGCTCTGCAATCAATTAAGGCACTACAGGTTGCCTTTCCGATTTGAATGCGGATATAGAGCAAAGGAGCGTCGGTTTCGACGTACCTTTGGGTGGCGTACTCACGGTCAATCTTCGCAAGATAGGAGCGGAGATCGACAACCGCTACCCCGTCGTCCCTCAATGGAGCTGGTACTATAGTGTGCAAATAGGAGCGTAGATTTGATGATTTGCCATCAAGGCGTTGCAATGCGGCCTTGGCAAGGTTCCGGTCGAGGGTAGAGGCATCCAAGTGAAGTCCTCTCTCGTGAGCGGGTCAAGCTCCTCAAGCCTTGACCACGCCGTCGAGTCCTCGGAAATCAGTGGCGAACTGACCGGATCACTTGCCGACGGTGTACAGGCTACGCATACGCAATCTAGGTGCACGTGGCTTGGCTGGTCTAGTGGTGGTACCAGCTGGGCAGCATAATCCTCATATGTAGCACGAGAATCAGCGACTAACACATGCTCCCCGGTAGTGACATCGATTGCTAGCAAGGCAACCGGGTCCGGCGGAGTGAGGAGAGACGCCGCCCCTCTCCTTGCGTAACTCAGTTTCCCGAGTTGGTTGGACGGGGTACGCGTGCCTTGCCCTTTTCGGGGCATTGTGCAGTCAAGTGAGTGACTCCATTGCACCAAAGGCAATATCCGTACTTTTGACGAAGGTCATAGATTTCCTTGGTTATCTTGTATGTCGTCCATGGCTGCTGCCTAGTTCCCGTCGATGTCGTCTCTTGTGTCGCCTTGTTCTTCCGAACTCTCTTGGGACGCTTCGGTGGGAGGGCTACTACAATTCCTCCATCACTCGAGGATGCTGCTGCAGCGTGGAGATCGACTGTTTCTTCAAAAATTACGGCATTGTTATGTGTCGGTCGTTGATAGCCCGGCTTAGCCACATAATGCGGTTGGGACTGCCGTTCATTTGCGGCCTTGTCATCCGTTTGGATGACCAAGTTCGCATGATCCAGGATGGCCTGGAATAAGGTGTTATCGTACTCGTTGCCGAGTGCGGTTTGCAGTCCTGCGCACGATCGCGAGAAGAATTCGGATCGTTGGTTAGTAAAACTCAAATCAAAGCCTGGCGTGGTCACTATCTTTTGCTACTTGGTTGTTCAGTCTCGAGTTGGCATACTCCCTTGAGAGGAGGTGTACACCTCGTTCATGGCCGCCTTCACGACGTTGCGGATCATGAACCGAGTGAACCATAGCTTCTCGAACTCCTTCCACGGGATGTGCGTGTGGAGTTCGGCGATGGTGCATTTCTTGGTAGCCGCTAGATGGTTCATCCAGGCCTACGCTCCTCCAATCAGTTGTAAGTAGAGCGCCTTCATCATGTCGTCAGCCGGGACAGTGCGGCAAGATGCTTTCGTGAGGAAACTTTGCCACCATGTCAAGGCGTCCGACTTGTTGTAGTCGTCGAACTTGCTGATGTCGAAGTGCGGCATCTTGTAATTCTTTGTAGCGGTGTCCGGTCTTGTCTGCAGTTTGGTGATGCTCGTCTTGATGGTGACCACCGTGCTGCTGATCGTGGCCGGACTAGTGAAATCACCTAGTTCGCCAATGATGGTGACGACGTGATCGATGCGCTCATTGAGCTGCTTCGTCGCGTCTGTCGTGCAGCTTGGCGCTGCTGAGGTCTTAGCCTGTTACATGCAGTGCGTGCACACACGGGCCATTTTGCAGGCCCGACAGCGTTCAGGCCAAAAGCCTGAACTTCAGGCCGAAAGCCTGAATTTCAGGTTGAAAGCTTGAAATCCAGGGCTTACTGGCCCCCTGTCGGCAACAGCCTTTTTAGCCTGAAACGAAGGGCCATTTTCGGTCGTTCATCAGAACGACCGGCCCTGAAACTCAGGCACCGAACTAGGGTTTCGGAAACAGACTATTATTAGTCTGTTTCCCACGCCAGCCTCAAGCAGGCTGCTGCACGCCAGCCCCTGGCACATTTCGGCATTGGCAAGAGCTGCCTCCTCGGCCTGACTGCCCTCCAGTAGTCAGGAGGCAGGCCGAGGTAGTACATAGGACT